CGAAAAGTCATCAAAAAGTGCCACTTTATATTTGAACGTTTCATCGATGCAATTTTATCATTGCATATTAGACACACTGCAGAACCTGCTCTCTCCACAAAAGCGAATTGTGGACAGAGGTCCATTCCTGCTGAAAAGTACGATACTCCTCATCTCGTTTTCTTTTAGCCATCTTCTTCGACACGTTTCCGCAACTAGCTAGCTAGCTGCTATGAAGGAAATTTACTTCCTGACCACGTCACCCATGTACGTTACGCATTATCCAATTGGCTCCAGCCACCTATCTTTTATATTTTTATCGTTATTTTTTTATTAAAGATTTGTCTGCGAGCCAGATGCAGAGTCAGAGTTTCTTTATTGTCATTCGCACCTCATGTGGTACATGTGGTGGAGCGAAATTATGTACACAGGGTCCCAGTTACATCCAACAATAAAATATATAAGAAAAACAGTAATGACATCTAATATATGAACTAAGAAAAACATCAACTAAATATACACTAAGCACTCATAACATAAAACATTGAACATCAGCACAAACATGAACATGAGTCTGTGAGCAGATGTGCACGCATGAACACATCAACATTGAAACAGATGAGCAGCAACATGAAACAGATCAGCAGCAACATGATATGGTTTTTCGCAGTGAATATTCTAGTTAGAGATTCATGAGTCTAACAGCCTCAGGGTAGAAGCTGTTCCTCAGTCTAGTGGTTCTACACTTAATGCTCCTTAACCTCCTTCCTGAGGGGAGTGGGGCAAAAAGTGTGTGTGCTGGGTGAGTGGGGTCCTTCATGATGCAGGTGGCCCTCTTCCTGCATCTGGAGGTGTAGATGTCTGTGATGGTGGGGAGGCTGATTCCAACAGATTTCTGTGCAGCCTTCACCACTCTCTGCAAAGCTTTTCTTTCTGCAGCTGTGCAGCCTCCATGCCACACGTTGATGCTGGAGCACAGGATGTTCTCCACTGCACACCTGTAGAAGGAGGTGAGGACTGAGCTTCCCAGACCAGCTCGCCTCAGCCGTCTGAGGAAGTAGAGTCTCTGATGAGCTTTCTTGATCAGGCTGGTGGTGTTGTTGCTCCAGCTGAGGTTGTCATTCATGTGTACACCCAAGTACTTGTAGCTGGAGACCACTTCTACCGCAGATCCTCTTATGTTCAGGGGGGTGTAGATGTTTTTGTTCCTTCTGAAGTCCACCATCATCTCCTTTGTCTTCTTCACATTGATGTGAAGGTTATTCTCTTTGCACCAGCTCTCCAGGTGTTTCACCTCTTTCCTGTAGCTGGACTCATCATTGTTTGTGATGCATCCCACCACCGCTGTATCATCTGCAAACTTTACAATGTGACAGCCTGGATGGGTAGCTGCACAATCATACGTGAGCAGAGTAAACAGGAGGGGGCTCAACACACATCCCTGAGGAGAGCCAGTGCTGAGGGTTATGGTGGAGGAGGGCAAGTTGTGGATCCTCACTAACTGTGGTCTGTTTGTTAAAAAGTCTAGTACCCAGTTGCAAATGGAGGGGCTTAGTCCTAGTGTGGATAGTTTGTCCATCAGGGTTTGGGGGATCATGGTGTTGAAGGCGGATGTGAAGTCCACAAAGAGCATACAGACGTAAGAGTTTTTCTGCTCCAGGTGGTTGAGCGCAGTGTGGACCACAGAGGAGATGGCATCCTCTGTTGATCGGTTCTCACGGTATGCGTACTGATGAGGGTCCTCGTTGATGTTGATGGTTGTTTTGATGCGAGTCATGACCAGTTTTTCAAAGCATTTAGCGACTATCGGGGTGAGGGCCACTGGCCGATAGTCATTCAGACCAGTCACTGTAGAGCTTTTTGGGACTGGGATGATGGTGGCAGTCTTCAGGCAGGTGGGAACTGTCTCCAGGGTAAGTGAGGTGTTAAAGATGTCTGCCAGCACCTCACAGAGCTGATCAGCACATTCCTTCAACACTTTTCCGGGGATGTTGTCTGGGCCAGTTGCCTTGTGCGGATTAATCCTCCTGAAGGTACTCCTTACTTCTGCTGAGGTCATGCAGCCATCAAAAGAGCCACATCTGGCTCACGAGCCATAGGTTCCCAACCCCTGCACTAGACTGAGGAACAGCTTCTACCCTGAGGCTGTTAAGACTCATGAATCTCTAACCAGAATAATCACTGTGAAAAATCACATCATGTTGCTGCTGATCTGTTTCATGTTGCTGCTGATCCGTTTCATGTTGCTGTGTTCATGCGTGCTCATCTGCTCACACAGACTCATGTTCATAAGCTCTGCTGTTTGACGTGACGTTTTTGTGCTATTAGTGCTTAGTGTATATTTAGTTGATAGTTTTTTTTTGTTCATATTTAGATGTTATTACCGTTTTTTTTTTTTTACATTTTATTGTTGGATGTAACTGGGACGCCTGTGTACATCATTTCATTCCACCACATGTACCACATGGTGGAATGACAAATAAAGAACCTTGAAATCCTTGAATGTTTAGCACATGCCTTGGGAATTTACATGTCTGTTAGCAAAATATCTCATGATCCATTGGATGGATGTTACAACTGCTCAGATTCAGACAAATTTAAGATGGCCATCTCAGGAAATTAACCATAGCCTGTGACTCCATTATTTTAAAGCTAATGAGGTGTGGAAGTATCTGAGAGTCATTCCACAAACATCCTCACAGATCACATGTACCGTTTAAAACTTTGGAATGAAACACTGGGGCTGATGTGCATTCCTTCAAAGTTACTTTCTTTTCTAAAGGAAAGTAAATCTTTTTTTAAAACCATCTAATATTGTCCAAAGAAAATATTAAAATCAAAAACTCTTTATTTTATATCTTTTTATTTTTATAATTTCTGTTCCAAGGTCCCCGGTTCAAATCCCGGTCTGGGGGCTTTTCTGGGTGGAGTTTGCATGTTCTCTCCGTGCATGTGTGGGTTTTCTCCAGGCACTCCAGTTTCCTCCCACAGACCAAAAACATGCATGTTAGACTGATTGGTAACTCTAAATTGTCTCTAGGTGTGAGTGAGAGAGTGAATGGTTGTTTGTCTCATTTGTCTCTATGTGTCCCTGTGATGGACTTGCGACCTGTCGAGGGTGTACCCCACCCCTCTCAGTGATTGCTGGACATGGGCACCAGCGACCCCCGTGACCCAAAATGGAATAAGCGGGTAAAGAAAATGGATGGATGGATGGATCTACAACAGGTAAGACATTAACCATTCATGCGGTTTCCACAGAACCCTACTTCAGTGTTGTGATGAAATCATTAAAACGTCCTGTGTTTATCCGAGGGTTAGTTTATCAGGTGAACAGATGAATTCTTCATCTTCAGAGATGTGTCGTTTTTACCACGACCGTCTGTAAATGTTTGTAACCCCCCCTGAGAGGACAGAGTCTGATCCTACACAACTGACAGAACAGGTGTGTGTTTGCAGTGTGAAGAGTGCAGACAGTTGTTCCCAGAGTCCCGACAGCTGACCTCAGATCTGCTGACTCGATGGCTTGTCGACTCAAAGCTCCGCCCACATGCCTCCCGCAGCCGCTGCTGGTCATGTGACTTCTTGTCTGGGTCGGCTGGTAGGAATTTATCGTGACTAACGAGGGACGAAACTTTTCACAACTCATTTTATTGATTCAAAGCTGGAATAAACAGATTTATAACACAGTTCATCTGTCTTTAAAGTTATGTGACGCGTCCTCTGACATCACATCATTCCTGAGAACAAGAGCACTGACTGGTGCAGAGGCTGTGAGGTCATCCCTCTGTTTGTTTTCCTTTATTCAAATGCTCCACCTCTGTAAGCTGAGAACACAAACATTTATTCTCATAGTAAATAAAGCGAAGACATTTTGTCTGCTGGAACCACTGATGTCCACACATGATGTCCATGTCCACAGGAGACACTTCTTTAGGACAAGTTTCCCTCTGCAGCTGATGACTAACTCAAGTTGCCATGGAAACAACAGACCACATCCTCCAGGATCACAGGACGATGCTGCCCCATCAGCCTCCTCGTCCTGTCAGAAGGTGCGTTTGTTTTTACTTACAGGGCGTCCGTGCTGAATGACGTGACACCACACGGGCTTGTTCTAAAAGACAAAACACAAAAAATGAGTTGAATTATTTTATAAACAGCTAAACTAACTGGAAAAATAAAGACAAATACAAAATAAAGAAAAATCAATTTTTAGGTAAATGTAAAGAATAAAAATGATTTAAGTAGGTGTTTAAGAGACAGCCCCAAACCCCCCCCCCCCCACCGACACACACACACACACACACACACACACACACACACACACACACACACACACACTAAAGCACATGCTAAAGAGGTGAAGAAGAGAGTCCAGGCAGGATGGAGAAAAGTTTCAGGAGTGATTCGCGACAAAGGGGTGTCAGCAAAGGTCAAATGACAAGTTTACAAGACAGTGGTGAGACCAGCTATGTTGTCTGGTCTGGAGACAGAGACATGGACAAAAAGACAAGAGACAGAACTGGAAGTGGCAGAAATGAAGATGTTGAGGTTCTCTTTAGGAGTGACAAGGATGGAGAAGATCAGGAATGAGATCATCAGAGGTACAGCACATGTTGAACAACTGGGAGATAAAGTTAGAGACCAGACTGAGATGGTTTGGACATGTCCAGAGGAGGGACAGTGGTTTGGACATGTCCAGAGGAGGGACGGTTGGGAGAAGGATGATAGAAATGCAGCTGCCAGGAAAAAGACAAAGATGAGATATATGGATGCAGTTAAGAGAGGACATGGAGGTAGTTGGAGTGAGGACAGAGGATGCAGAGGACTTAATAATATGGACGAGGTTGACTCACTGTGGTGACCCCTAAAGAGGGAACAGACAACAGAAGAAGAAGATACATTTTGAAGGAATTAAGTGTAAAATTAACTTTTAGTTGTCCTTCATCCATATATTTCCACTTTATATGAGTAATTTCTGTGTATATTCTGGATGGGATCGATCATCTCGTACCTCAGCATCAGAACGTGCTCTGCAGCAGGCACTGACAGCCACAGCCAGCTGGACACTCGTCCTGCCGTCGGAACCAGTCCATCATGTGATTGGTGTGTCCTCCATGGCCGCAGCTCAGGCAGAAGTTGGACGAGCCTCGGACGGCCACGTGGCAGACGGCACACTGGAAGGTCAAACGCTTGCAGACAGCGCACTGCGTCCCACGGGCCTGACTGCGACAATGACAGCAGTATACACCAAACTCTGCAGAGACAACACACAGCGGATTGGTCCACTTCAACACAACTCTCCATGATCGAGGGGTAGACTATTTAGAACATCTGCTGAGGAGAGCTTCCTGTCCTACAGGGAAGGTTCTCAGGGGAACATACCGATCCCTTTGTGTGGTTCTGGAGGGCTGGATGTGAACTTGAGGACATCTGCTCTCTTGTCTCTCAGGTCCCAGCGGTATAAGATCTCTCCGTAACACTTCTTAAAGTCATCAAATTGCAGCGTGTTGGCTGGGTCCAGCAGCCTGCACAGGAGGAAGTGACATCAGCCTTTAGAAAAACTGAATCCACAAAACAAAGCAAGTCTTCATGTAAAGAGCTGAATGAAGATTTGCTTCACAGTGTAAAAATCAAGGTCTAGCATTTCTTAATGGAAACTTTTCATGCCACAATTTTAGTTGTACAGGTGCTGCTCATAAAATTAGAATATTATGAAAAAGTTAATTTATTTCAGTAATTCCATTCAAAAGTGAAACTTGTATATTCTATTCATTCATTACACACAGACTGATATATTTAAAATGTTTATTTCTTTTAATGTTGATGATTATAACTGACAACTAATGAAAACCCCAAATTCAGTATCTCAGAAAATTAGAATATTGTGAAAAGGTTCAATATTTAAGACACCTGGTGCCACACTCTAATCAGCTAATTAACTCAAAACACCTGCAAAGGCCTTTAAATGGTCTCTCAGTCTAGTTCTATAGGCTACACAATCATGGAGAAGACTGCTGACTTGACAGTTGTGCATAATACGACCAATGGCGCCTTGCACAAGGAGGGCAAGACACGAAAGGTTATTGCTAAAGAGGCTGGCTGTTCACAGAGCTCTGTGTCCAAGCACATTTAATAGAGAGGCTAAGGGAAGGGAAAGATGTGGTAGAAAAAAAGTGTACAAGCAATAGGGATAACCACACCCTGGAGAGGATTGTGAAAACAAACAAGAAAAAAATCCAAAATGTGGGGGAGATTCACAAATTGTGGACTGCAGCTGGAGTCAATTCAATTCAATTCTGTTTATTTAAATAGCGCAAAATCACAAAAAATTGTCTCAGGGCACTTTTGTCCGCACTTCAAGAACCACCACGCTCAGACGTATGCAAGACAAGGGGTTCAGCTGTCGCATTCCTTGCATCAAGCCACTCTTGAACAAGAGACAGCATCAGAAGCGTCTCGCCTGGGACTGCTGCTGAGTGGTACAAAGTTAAGTTCTCTGATGAAAGTAAATTTTGCATTTCCTTTGAAAATCAAGGTCCCAGAGTTTGGAGGAAGAGGAGAGGCACAGAATCCATGTTGCTTGAGGTCCAGTGTTAAATTTCCACAGTCAGTGATGGTTTGGGGTGCCATGTCATCTGCTGGTGTTGGTCCACTGTGTTTTCTAAGGTCCAAGGTCAATGCAGCCGTCTACCAAGAAGTTTTAGAGCACTTCCTGCTGTTGACCAGCTTTTTGGAGATGCGGATTTAATTTTCCAACAGGACTTGGCACCTGCACACAGTGCCAAAGCTACCAGTACCTGGTTTAAGGACCATGGTATCCTGTTCTTAATTGTCCAGCAAACTCACCTGACCGTAACCCCTTAGAAAATCTATGGAGTATTGTGAAGAGGAAGATGATGTGATACACCAGACCAAACAATTCAGAAGAACTGAAGGCCACTATCAGCGTAACCTGGGCTCTCATAACACCTGAGCAGTGCCACAGACTGATAGACTCCATGCCACGCCGCATTGCTGCAGTAACCCAGACAAAAGGATCCCCAATTAAGTATTGAGTGCTGTACATGCTCATATTTTTCATGTTCATACTTTTCAGTTGACCAACACTTCTAAATTTTTTTTTTTCATTGGTCTTAAGTAATATTCTAATTCTCTGAGATACTGAATTTGGGATTTTCATTAGTTGTCAGTTATAATCGTCAACATTAAAAGAAAAACATTTGAAATATATCAGTCTGATCAGTCTGTGTGTAATGAATGAATAGAATATACAGGTTTCACTTTTTGAATGGAATTACTAAAATAAATCAACTTTTCACGATATTCTAATTTTATGATCAGCACCTGTACACTGATATTTGGTGGCATCGTTCATCGTTGGTATTTAGAAAGTTTTACCAAAATGCTACGACTTCAGCTCTTTGCAATCAATCTATAACCTATAATAATGGATCCATAATCCATTCCATACATATGTGGTACTCAGGAGGTATGTAACAGGAAAGTACCGGTTTACTTGTCACTTACTTGTTACTTGTCACATTGTACTAGGTATTGTTTGCAGAATGGCCAATGTTGTACTCATTTTGGTCAAACTTTGAAAAATCCACAATGAAAACAACAGATTGCTTGTTGGGAATAGCTCAGCTACTACCACACCAACCCTTTGCTCAGACTTGGAGCCAGTTATTTGCTAAGACCATTGGGTCAACTCCAAAAGTTTGTCAGTTGAAGATGTGCAGTCAGTGATTATTTCCTGGAAGCTTTTGCATTATTAGTGTTTGGCGTATATATCTTAGGTCTTTTGGCATGCCGTTTGACGTATATCCTAGTGTATATCTGAGATACTTGTATACAGTTTCTTTTTATACTTTATATTTTTGCTATTCTTGGGTGTAACTGGAACCCTGAGTACATAATTTTGTTCCACCTCATGTACCACGTGAATGTGAAGGACAATAAAATTGACTTGAACTGAATTAAAATCAGTGATTCATGTAATAATTTGCCAACATGACATAAACACCTTGCATAAAAAACAGGGAATGAAAGCATCAGGTGATGTACGGTGCATCTAGAAAGTATTCATAGTGCTTCACTCTTTCCACATTTTGTTATTATTATTATTATTATTATTAATTAACCTTTATTTAATCAGGCAATTGCCCATTGAGATAACAGATCTCTTTTGCAAGGGAGGCCTGGGCCTGAAGGCAGACCAATATGCATGTTTTTGTTCTGTGGGAGGAAACCGGAGTACCCGGAGAAAACCCACACAAGCACGAGAAGAACATGCAAACTCCACACAGAAAGACCCCAGGTCCAACTGGGGATGGAACCCAGGACCTTCTTGCTGTGAGGCAACAGTGCTAACCACTGAGCAATCATGCTGCCCACTGAGCCCACTGAGTTACGTTACAGCCTTATTCCATTTTGTATAAAATTAATCTCTTTCATCAAAATCTACACACAATACCCATTTATGACTGTGCAAATCTATTGTTTTCTTTTAGATTTTTGCAAATTTATTGAAAATTGAAAACTAAGAATTCACATTTATGCAAGATTTCATAGCCTTTGCTAACTCCTCTTTCAGGACCATTCCTACTTCATTTCTCTTTATCCACACCGTGGTAAAACAGTTTGAACCCTGCTCCAATGCTCTGAGCCTTGCTGCCTTTCCACTTGGTCTCTTGGACACATAAAACATCTACCTTCCTTCTCTGCATCATGTCAGCCAGCTCTCTACCTTTGCCTGTCATTGTCCCCACATTTAGAGCTTCAACCCTCAGTCCTACATTCTTGACTTTCCTCTTTTCCCTCTGTCTCCTGACACTTTTCTCTCCTCGTGGTCTTCGACTAATAGTAGCACAATTTCTGCCGACACCCTGTTTGTCAACAGCACAAGTGGTGGTCGCTGTTCACTCGGGCCTCGACCGATCTGGTATGGTGTGTTTTGGATGAACTCACGTTAGTTTTGGCAAAATGATTTTACATCGGATGCCCTTCCTGACACAACCCTCACCATTTATGCCCACTTTGAAGACCCAAATAGACCACTCAGCATCAGACTCATCTCGGCATCTGAAGAGAAATTCCTCAGCTTGACCTTAGCTGAAGTGCTCTGTTAGGAAAATATGGAACAATAAGATCTGTAATATAAGATGGAGCCAATAGAGGCCAGTAGCCCTCAACCCAATAGGTGCTAAATGCTTCGAGAAACTGGTCATGACTCACATCAAAACAACCATCAACATCAACAAGGACCCTCACCAGTATGCATACCGCAAGAATTGATCAGCAGAGGATGCCATCTCCTCTGTGGTCCACACTGCACTCAACCACCTGGAGCAGAAAAACTCTTACGTCCGTATGCTCTTTGTAGACTTCACATCCGCCTTCAACACCATGATCCCCCAAACCCTGATGGACAAACTATTCACACTAGGACTAAGCCCCTCCATTTGCAACTGGGTCCTAGACTTCTTAACAAACAGATTGCAGTGTGTGAGGATCCATAACTTCTCCTTCTCCACCATAACCCTCAGCACTGGCTCCCTCAGGAATTTGTGCTGAGCCCTCTCCTGTTCACTCTGCTCACGTATGACTGTGCACCTACACATCCAGGCTGTCACATTGTAAAGTTTGCAGATGATACAGCGGTGGTGGGATGCATCACAAACAACGATGAGTCCAGCAACAGGCAGAAGGTGGAACACCTGGAGAGCTGGTGTAGGAAGAACAACCTTCACATCAATGTGAAGAAGACGAAAGAGATGGTCGTGGATTTCAGAAAGAGCAAACACACCTACCTCCCACTGAACATAGGAGGATCTGCGGTGGAAGTGGTCTCCAGCTACAAGTACTTGGGTGTACACCTGAACAATAACCTCAGCTGGAGCAACAACACCACCAGCCTGATCAAGAAAGCTCATCAGAGACTCTACTTCCTCAGACGGCTGAGACGAGCTGGTCTGGGAAGCTCAGTCCTCACCTCCTTCTACAGGTGTGCAGTGGAGAGCATCCTGTGCTCCAGCATCAACGTGTGGCATGAAGGCTGCACAGCTGCAGAAAAAAATAGCTTTGCAGAGAGTGGTGAAGGCTGCACAGAAGTCTGTTGGAGTCAGTCTCCCCACCATCACAGATATTTACACTTCCAGATGCAGGAAGTGTAAATTCCTGCATCTGGAATCTGCATCATCTCCACATGATAGAGTGGGGTCCATCATGAAGGACCCCACTCACCCAGCACACACACTTTTTGCCCCGCGCCCCTCAGGAAGAAGGTTAAGGAGCATTAAGTGTAGAACCACTAGACTGAGGAACAGCTTCTACCCTGAGGCTGTTAGACTCATGAATATCTAACCAAAAAAACACTGTGAAAAATTACTTTAATGCCACTTTAATTGGAGATTTGTCACTTTATCTGTACTGCTGATTATCCAGGCTGCTGATTTCTTACCTTTAAGTCAGAGTCAGAGTCAGAGTCAGAGTTTCTTTATTGTCATTCGCACCTCATGTGGTACATGTGGTGGAGCGAAATTATGTACACAGGGTCCCAGTTACATCCAACAATAAAATGTATAAGAAAAACAGTAATAACATCTAAGATATGAACTAAGAAAAACATCAACTAAATATACACTAAGCACTCATAACATAAAACATTGAACATCACCACAAACATGAACATGAGTCTGTGAGCAGATGTGCACGCATGAACACATCAACATTGAAACAGATCAGCAGCAACATGAAACAGATCAGCAGCAACATGATATGGTTTTTCACAGTGATTATTCTAGTTAGAGATTCATGAGTCTAACAGCCTCAGGGTAGAAGCTGTTCCTCAGTCTAGTGGTTCTACACTGAATGCTCCTTAACCTCCTTCCTGAGGGGAGTGGGGCAAAAAGTGTGTGTGCTGGGTGGGTGGGGTCCTTCATGATGCAGGTGGCCCTCTTCCTGCATCTGGAGGTGTAGATGTCTGTGATGGTGGGGAGACTGACTCCAACAGATTTCTGTGCAGCCTTCACCACTCTCTGCAAAGCTTTTCTTTCTGCAGCTGTGCAGCCTCCATGCCACACATTGATGCTCGTTCTCATTAAGCTGCTATATTCATTCCCATCTGCTCACAACAGACTCATGTTGACTCAGACTCATGACTTCCTGGGGAGTGGTGACACAGAGGTTAGAGAAAATGGGCTTATGATCGGAAAGCCGCAGGATCAACTCCCCAAACTGACCACATCAAAATGTGGGTGGAAAAGGTGAAACACCCACACCTGCCTCCACTTTCAATTTCCCCACTCTCAGCCCTTGAGCAAGGGCCTCAACCCCCACCATCTGCTCCCAAACAGGTCTCTCTTGAAAATGAGTTCTTGTGACTTAGTGAGACTACCTGTATAAATAAAATGTTAAACAAAAATAAAATGTTCAGGCTGCTGTTTAATACACCGTATTATTTTACATTATTATTGTTTAGCACAGGGCTATTCTGGCAGCCACTGGGCCATTTCCGGAGATTAGAAGTAATTAGAAGCAATGAACCATACATGCTTTTGTGTTTTTGCTGGGAGTAATAACATGTTTTTAAATCCCCTCACCAAAAAATAAGGGGAGGGGTAAGCTCAAGTACAAGTTTTCACTCCACTTTAGAAAACAGAGGAGCAAATCCACCTGCATACTTTAAAAAAAATGTATCCGTTATTTATACAGGTAGTCTCATTGAGTTACGACAACTCATTTTCAAGAGAGACCTGCTTGGGAGCAAATGGTGGGGGTTAAGGGCCTTGCTCAAGGGCCCAGAGTGGGGCAAATGAGGGTGGAGGAAGGTGTGGGTGTTTCACCTTTTCAACCAACATTTTGATGTTGACAGTACTGGGAGTTGAACCTGCGACTTTCCGATCACAGGCCCATGTTCTCTAACCTCTGTGCCATCAATCCCCACACTGCATTTAAACTGAAGGTGCCCGAGCGCCAGTTGTGGTTTTTGCTGCTGTCAAGACTATAAAAAATGAGCAAGTCATCCAGTCATACACAACTCATCACTTTTCTCTTTTCCTTTTCTCCCATGTCTTTTGTACTGCTGCTGCTGAGCTGTCAGTCATGTGACACGGCGCTGACGTGACTCGTAAACACTGACGCTAAACCACAGCTGAGCTGACAAGGCGATCCATCACAGAAACATGAAGGCTGGAGTGTAAACAGACACAACACAACTTTATGCTACAAAGAAAGAGCACTTTCCTCAAGTGGAATCGTTTCTGACGACAACGCACAAAACAGCTTGATCAGGAAGTTCCTACTGGAGATGGTGAGTTTAAAAAAACAGAACTCCAGTCTGATGTCTGACCTAGTCCTAGTCCAGAAATTTTCCTTTGCTTAAAGAACCAACTGACTTTCTGTAGAGACCACGTGGAAGCTCCTATTGGCTCATCAAGGTGCCAATCAAAAGCTATATTGTTTCCATGGAAACCATGCTCACATCACAGGAAAGACTGGACCTGGCTGCAATAACCATCTGTGTTATTTATGATGAACTGCTTTGGACCTCTTATTCATGTCATGCAGCTCTCGTTCCCGTTCCCGAGGATCAGTGTAGCCTTGGTTGCCATAACGATAGTCGTCAGGGGAGGGTTCACCCCAGGGGATGGCGTGCTCAGAGTCTTTGACTGAAAACAAGAAAAAATAAAGAGTTTGTCAGAAAGCTGAAGTGTCCAGACACAGCCAGAGTGAGGTGCTTCAGAATCTGACCTGTGGTCCAGGTGCTGGTGGAGTCTGAGGTGCTGGAGCAGGAGCCCGAGGTGATGGAGCTGGATGTGTAGCTGGGCTGAGACAATAACACAAACATGATAGAACCATTGTGTTCAGAAAGTTCCCACTCAGCACTTAAGTTTCTAATAGTTTATCTTCAAAATAGCCTGAGGTCTCTTGTAAATCACTTAAGTGGTCGTATGCCCCTTTTCCACAGCTCCTCTTCAGCATGGTTTGACTCGGCTCGGTACGGTTCCAAGGCTTTTCCATTGAAACAATGTCCATAATAAACTGATGCTGATTTTAGCCAACATGACAGCACTGAGAGATGCAATGGCCAAAGATGCAACTTCCACGTCTTCCAGTTTCGATTTTCTTTCTTGGTTTACGTCTGGTACCTGGTGGCAGTTACTTCTAAAGATTTTTGCTCCTATAGTAGCAGTTCTTATAATGCTTTGTGATTTTATGACTTGTGTTATTCCTTGTTTTAAATCTCTGATACAGAAAACTGTTGCTAACACTTTCACCCAACTACAGATGTATTCTCAAAGCCGTCCCTACCAAGATGTTGATGTTGCTTATTAACGTCTTAGCCCTCGGAGACACAATGTTGATGAATACCAACAAATTTCCAAACTGTAAATGTGTTAATGATGTCTGCATTGAAAGTGTGTAAACAAATGATGCTGGACTGATGTCTTCACATTCCATAAAATGATCAACAGGAGGGAAATGTTAGAACAGTCGTTCTTTTAATTATATTATTCTTTTTTTCATTCATTCAACCTTTATTTAAACAGATAAATCACATTGAGCCTCAAAGACTCATTTACAAGTGAGACCTGTTTGGACAGACAAAAACAGTGGTTAACTGGACACATGTAAGTGTTGGAGGCGAAAAAAATTCCTATCAGACTTTTTTTTTCTTGCCTGAGAAAAAACCCCTCTAATATTAAAAAAACACCCCGCACAAACAGCACATAGTGACGTAGACATTCTGCAAACGGAGACGAGAGCGGTCAACAACGCTTATAGATGTTCTCCAGGTCACTGTAAGAGTTCTGATAAGATAATCAGTCAATGTCCTCCGGCAAGATCCATAAACATTCTCGAGGTATGTCGAGGAATGGCCAAGAATAACGTCTGAGAATCCAAGAGTCCTGAAATGATGACACAAAGTTTATTCAGCTGGTTTCCTCTGGTTATCAGTTGGAAATTCCTCAGGGAGGGGGTGGTGAGCGTCAGATCACATTTTCTTCAGGCGAATTCAGATAAGATGGCCTTGAAGACCAGCCAAGGGAACCAAATTTAGATAAACACACAGTTGTTTTGGGGACAGGCAGAACTTAATGACATCTGCCTTGAGTCTGTGTTGGTCCACTCCGTTCCAAATTGTCCAAAATACATGGCCACACCAATGGAACATGACTGAGTAAAATCCCCAAGATCTGATCCATTCAGCCCAAAGCATTTGAGTCCGGGTACTCGAGACACGAACCAAGCCATCATAAAGGCAAGCAGCGTGATCGGGTCCAAATTTGCTGCTGACGACTTCCTTGATTGTAGATAAAACCAGCCACCAGCCGCATCCAAAAAAGCAAGAACCAGTTATCGAAAATCCAATTAAATATGCGTCCTTAAAATCCACAGATGGCAGCAGAGATAGACACATCATCAAGTCTTCCAGTCGATGAGATATCCAGCTGTGTGTGTGCCAACAGGGCAAATCGGCTCACCTAAAGCCTGTCTTCTCTTCGAAGAAATGTTGTAAATTGAGTTGAGGGACCGACTGATCAAAACAGTCCATAATTATGGATAGGAAGAAATGCAAGAGAGGCTCACAGCATCATATTATATTATTCTTTTAATTATTTTATGTTTTACTCTTGGTTTTCTTCACGAGTTTACTTGTGTGATTTTGTCTTATGATAATTTTATTTTCATGTCCTCTTCAGTGGAAAAACCCAGAATAGATGTTTTACAAACTTTAACCATCTACCAAGCTTGCAAAAACTTGTTGTTCCAGTCTGCCCTTCCCTCAGAAACAGACTGCAACTTATTGCTAAAAAAAACATGTTAACAACCTGCTCTATACGATCACACCCACCATTGTTTGAATTTAATAAAAAGGCTAAAGGGAATGAGCAAGTGGAAGAGAGTCTGGAGAAAAGACGCCTTTGGCTACTCTTCCCTTTGCAAAGAAAAATCTCACTCTATTGTGTCCGTGTTCATTTGTTTAAACCTAACAATTTGAACAACCTTCAGCAAGTGTGGAGATCTGCTGATCCAGACAACTTTAAAATATTACAGGAACATCTGGATCATTTAAAAGAACATGGGAAAAAAGAGGACTGGATCTGTCTAGACAGAACTACTTTAACTTTTTGAAAGCAAAGTCACATTTTTGAAAGGTACCTTGTTGGATTTATGACACATGAGAGACGCAGGGACAGTGTGTCCATACTGTCTCACAAACAAGCTGTCCATCACAAAGGAACACAACACTTTTCTCTAAATCTCAAATAATTCATCCACTCAAATCTGGAATCTTGTTGAGTTGAACATTCAGCAGCAAGGTAACAACTAAGAGAATCAACTAAATTCAACATATGAAAAATACCATCTTCTCCTTGAATCGCCACCTTATCGTGGTGGAGAAGTTTGTGTGCCTGAATGATCCTAGGA